ACCAAAGGTAAGGTGGATGGACAGAATCAAAGCTGACTGAAAGAGCTTAGGATAGACGAACATCATGCCTCAAATCGAGAATACTGGAGAGAGTTAACTCGTATAGCAGACCCTGCGTAAGCGGGAAAAATGCGAAGATAAAAAAAAATTATACGAAAAACTTATTATTTGTTTTTGCTTTCATACTCACGGTATCAGTTCATTTACCACAATAGTACCTCCTCATGGCTTTGAATTACATGTAGTATTGCGGATTGCTGCGCAGAAGGATATTTTCATTTGAAGAATAAAGGAAGGACACATTGTTGAACCCTGTAACCGGAATCATAAATGAGATTTTAGTATTTTAGTTTTGACCGCACAGAGGGAGTACAAAATTGATCTCCCCCGTGAACATTGCAGTTTTGTAACACAAGCTTGATGCCATAAAAATATCTCGACCAGGGTCATATCTTATACTGAAGCAAATACACAGCGGCATCAACCCCATGCCTTCGGCATACATTGAATGAATTCTACTACTCAATTTTGAGATTGTCATAGGAATTTTTTTGTGCTTTCGAAGCTCTGTGTGGGAGAAGCTCTAGAAGGGCATGATAGAATGGGATTTGTGTAAAGGCCAAATTGAAAGCAAGGATAAGCAGTGTTCGTTCATGATCTTTTATTTCCTTCTATTACAACCCATTAAATTGCTGATTTTGAAAACTTCAAGCCTCAAAATTCAGCCAGTCATTAACCCGCCCTTTACTGCACCTTACCTCGAGTACTTGAATGGAAGTATAAGAAGCTCAGCATGCTATAGAGAGAATATAGTATTAACTATTAATGCGTTAGACTTAGAAGGAGCTTTTGAACCGAAATTATGAGATTGATCAGAAATTGTAAACAGGAAGGACCTGAAACGACTCTAAATGTTTTAAAAGAGATAACGAGCGGGAGCAAAAATGACAAAATTGCTAGACGGTTCTAGTCCAAATGACAGGGATACTGAAGACGATCTCAATAAATGAGCATCTGGACATCAGCACGCATTCAGTAAACTACTTGTTACGCTAGCTAGTATTAATTTTTAGGATGAGTTTTTGATAACGAGCATTGCAGCTAGTCGTTGGGAATTATCCCCATTTCAACCCATTTTAAATATCCGCTTAGTATTTCAAAACTATATATTTTTCTGCAAGGGGTAAATTTTGTTGTTCTCAATCTTTGCAACTGAGCAGATTTTTATTTTAAGCTGTGCAAATTCATGCTAATTTACCGGAATGTGACTCGGCTTTGTGTAATAAATTTGCGCAAGTAAATATGGAAACAAGCCTACCATAAAATATATAAAGTTCCCTGTTTTTCGACAAAAAAACCAGCGACAGGAAATGGTGATGTTTAGCATACTAATCGCTAAGGTGCGTTTCCCTTCTTAGCTTTTATTGAACAAAGTTGGCTGTTTCTTACTTTCACAAGACCAATTTCAGTGCATTATTTTACTCTGTTTCGTCATCGGTATTCAGGGTGTGCAAAGTAAGGTATAGCGCAGAGGCAAACTGCGAAAGAAAAGTTTTTGCATTAAATCCAAACATTACGGAAGAAATATGGGAAACCCTGTTTAGGTCCTACATGCCGTAATTATCACTGCAATGAAGGTTTTAAATGTGTGATGGTAGAACCGCCAGATGATTGCAGAAACTGTCCAATGCGTCCTTATTGCGTGTTAAGAGGTGAAAAGGTGGACACATGATTAGAATAAGAATGCAATCCTGAGTTTAGAATGCTGTACTAGATGTGATCTAAATTGTGCTCGTGGCTACAAATGCATGCTTACCGCCACGGATTGGTACGTTTTTCTTTTCTGTGAAAGAATTCAACAATTTTGATCTTTATTGACCATTTTAAGGTGCCCATATGCCACCTGTGGTCCTCCAGTGGAGGACCCTCCTCCAGAAGAGTGAAGCGATGCGGGAATAAATGTGCAAACTGAAT